CAACTGATGCTATCCACACAATTAGGCAAATGAGTGAAAAATACAGGGAAAAGAACAAAAAGTTAGACAGGGTCTTTCTCGATCTAGAAAAGGCCTTCAATAGAATCCCAAGAAATTATCTGGTGGGGCTACGCCACAAATAGGTTCCCGAAAAATATATAAGAATAATACAGGATATATATATTGGCCATACAACAATGGTCCGTAGCACAACAGGTACTTCAGCAGGCTTCACAATAGCTGAAGGAGTTTATCAAGGGTCGACTCTCAGCCCACTTCTCTTCATTACAGTAATAGATGTATTAGCACAGTCTATACCTCAAACAGTCCCGTGGAATATGATATTTGTAGATGATATTGTGATACTTGCCGAATCCAAGGATGAAATGAAAGAAAGATTAGTGAGTTGGATGAATATCCTAAAAAAACACGGACTAAAAGTAAATAGAGAAAAGACTCAGTATATGGTGATAGGAGGAGATGAAACAGAGAGTATTGATATAAATGAATGGCAGATATCGGCAATTGAAAGCTGCAAATATTTAGGCTCCACTATACAAACAAACGGCACAATAGAAAGAGATAAAGAGTAAAATTAATCAAGGGTGGTTAAAGTGGAGATCTTTATCTGGAATACTATTTGACAAAAGAATCCCACAAAAATTAAAGGGAAAAATTTACAGTTCCATAGTACAACCAACTATCCTATATGGTTCGGAAACATGGCTAACCAAGGAATCAGACGAGAGAAGTCTACAAACTATGGAGATGAGAATGCTGAGGATGATTGCTGGGGTAACAAGAAAGGATAAAGTGCGCAGTACAAGAATACTAAGTAGTTTAAAGATAGTGCCCATTAAGACTAAGTTAATGGTAAACAGACTTAGGTGGTATGGGCACACAATGAGAAGGCCTGTGAACTACATAAATAAGGTTGAGAGTTTGGAAGTGATGGGCAAACGTAAAAGAGGAAGCAAAACTTTAATGGAGCCATAAAGTTAGAGCCAATATAAAGAATTATAAATTAGATAAATGAGATTGTATGAATAACATAAAGTGGAGAGAGATGTTGAAGGAGCTTATTATCAGAAAAGATGAAAGCCAAAGAGAAAAAAGAAAAGTAAAAAGGAGAAAAAAAACCCTAAGCATTTTTAATTTATACCAGAGTAGTTAGGGTGAATTACGAGACATTTATTAAAAGTAAAAATCAATTAGATAACTAGTTCTGAGCGTTTCATTTTTTTATCTGAATGTTTCAGTTTTATGCCTAAGCGATATTTTTAGGAAATTTTTATCCTAGCATTAAAAAGTAGTTCAGAGCATTCTGCATTTTTTTGAACATTAAGCATTTATTTTATATCAAATAACTGAAGGTTAAAACTTCGATTTTTTTTTGAAATTTGTATGATGGGAGTATATACACTAACTAGTAAAAATGTAAAATTTTAATACCAGCTTAATTTCTGATATATTGCCATCTAATATCTCAAAAATTAATTAAGCTAAAACTACAATGCAAATTTTATTAGATAGTTCTATATGAACTCTTTATATAATATGTTATAAAATATATTGAAAATAAGTTACTTGCCAAATACCGGAAATTGAAAACCGGAAATAGCTATAAAATGAAAACTAATTTTTTTACTTTCAAATTTCTTATTATAGATAGGCATTATATTTCCCTATATTTATGCAAAATCCAAGATTGTAGGTTTTTCGCACCTTAAATTTTGGGAATGGCTAAAATCATACATAAATATAATTTATATTTAAAATATATAGTAATTTTTTCAAATTTTTAGAATAAAAATAAAACTGTATAATGAAGACATGTAAAATTAGGTGGGTAGAAATTAGAGATCTCTGGGTAAGGCCTAATATTTTTTTAAAAAAAATTGGACCGGGTCATATTTAAATATTGAAATAAAATAGCATAAATCAAATAGCCTATATTTTTTATTTGTTTGGAGAATGATCATATACTCTATTTTGTTCAGTGTGATATAAAACTCTAGAAAAAAACTAATAATTACTATATCTAAATAGATTCGGATCATGGATAACTAATTTTTATTTCGGATATGGCTCTTTTGGATAAATAAAAAAACTGTTTGGGATCGGGCCAGAAATAGAGCCGGGTTTGAAAAATTAGGCGCGATGTAGATCACCTATAGACAATATGTTGTATTTACACATAAGTTTCGCGATTCTCATAACTTCAGCCAAATCCATATTTTTGAAAAATATTGCATAAAATTGTTTTATAATAAATGATTTATTAATATATTTCAATGAAAAAAATCATATCACATCTAATAATGTAAGCTTCAGGTGAAAAATATGTATTTCGGATTATTTTGATATTTCTCCAAGAGCCTACAAAATAGGTTCTTGATTCAATAAATGCACGTCGAAGGCTCCATCTTGTGTGCAGCTCTTTGCAGTTTGTTTTTTTCCCGTTGCACAATAAGTCTCAAAAAAATTATATTCGCATTTCTGTCTACTTGATAATCTGAACATTTCATATACTCAAAAGATTTTCTAATAATAGTTATTAGTAGAGATAAATTAAATATAATCTTTTTTGAATGATAAAATTATCTTATATCCGTTAGTGAAATATTAATAAACAAGAAATAAATATTTAAAAAATTTTAACTTTTTGCTAAAATTTAGAATAGAATATAATTTATTTAAGAATACTTTGCACTTCACAATTCATGAAGTTCTCTTATAATATTTCAAAATTTCTTGCTATAGGGCGGAGGATTTTTCCCTCTCTCCCACTCTCCCGCTTACTAAAGGTCTGAGCTTTTTTATATGTTAAAAACTTTATTTGCTACGAGGAGAATTTATCTACCCACCCGCTGACCTATGCGCCTGATGGAGGCTTAATATTTAATTTAGAGAAGAGTATCGTTGATGTCGTATGCCTTTTAATGCAATTAAGGTCATATTTTCCCTTGAATTTACTATGAGGTTGCATTTCATGCAGTTTTGAAACTGAACATTGCATCCAACTCTATATCCTAAAATCATACATAGTTCTTTATATCCTTAATTTTCTAGCCTTAATTTTATTTTCATTATGAAATAGTCAAATGTCTTCAAGAGATGAAGAGGAAGATAAATTTAAAATATTTTGATATAAGAGGTGAAAAATTTTTGTGGGCATTGTGGGGAAAGATGTATCAGGAGAGACATTTTTGCCATATTGTAAGAGCTTAATCTAATAAGTTATAGTTGGGAGATATAAAACTAGATTAGTGAATTATTTGTTAAAAGAAGACAGAAAAGAGGAATGGTAAAGGTATGGTTGGATATTAAGTCAATGCCCCCCCCCCTTCTAATTTTCCAGGTAATTGGGCTAATTTTTTAAAGTGATTAAATTTTTATTTAAGATTTTTTCCAGGAAAGATTTAAAAAAATATTTGCAAAATCAAAAGGAAAAACGATGAGGAGAGGGCTAAATCAAGAACTTTTGGAATATACAGGCATTTGCGAATAATATAAAGGCTCTGGTGAGCTGAGAGTATATTTAAGATTTTTCCCATTAAAGATATTGTTAAAAATTTTGATAATAATATCTCTAATGGAGAGTGTTTTATCGTGGTGATCCTAATAGAGAAGATTACAAGGTCTGCAATTTTGTAGCCCGGTAATTCTTGAATTGTTATTCAGGAAACAGAACATCTTTTTGGGATTGTTAAGAGTGTCTTATATTTTTAGAATTTGTATCAAGGATATTTAAAACTTCTATTTGGTAGTGTTGTTAAAAGTCCGATTTGGTTAGATTTTTTAAACTGGCCAGATTAAGATTATAACCACAATAACATTAAGCAACCTGTGATGTTTATCGTGTTTTAGGTATAGCGTGGAATCATTTTGTATAATAAGCATTTTATTTGTGATTAATATTTTTTGATTTTTTTTTGCGCATTCATTCTTTTAATTTTTATTTGTGATTAATATTTTTTTTGATTTTTTATTTGCACATTCATCTTTTTAATATATTATAATAAAATTCTTTTAGATTAATTAAATTATTAATCAATTTATATTTATTTTATAGTAGATATATATATATAGATAAAAAAAGGAAATAAAAACAGTTGTCGTTTTTCCAGATTTTCCTCATCCTTTGATTATTGTTGTCTTTTTATTTTAGAAATTTATTTTTTTTGGGGTTTAGTTCAAAAGAAAAGAAGAAAGAAAAAATTATTACAAGTAAGAAAAAATTATATATTTTATTGCAAAAGTAGCATAAGAGAAAAAGAAAGAATAGATAATAAATTAGAAACAACCCTAAGGATTTTGCTCACAGCTAGGAGAAATGCTTGGACATATATTTGACAAATCTTGATGCTTACATAATATTATTTAACTAAAATCTTAATTGAGCTGTTTTAAAAAAATTGACCCAAATTGGGTTTTTAATAACACTAATATTTGAAGCAATGACATATATAATATCTAGAATAACGATTCATTCATTAAAATGCATTTTTAAGCGTCGTTAAAAGCAAATCAGCTGGACCCGAACACATATAGTAATTATTCTCATGTTAAAAACTACTATTAAATTGAAAACTTGCTTACTTATTATCTCGATGCGGTAATTCTTTAATAAAGTTTGCATCAGATATAGGAATAAATTAGGCTCTCGATTAAAATTTTAATAATAATTAGTGTAACAAAAATGGCGTCTTCAGCTGATTTGCAATGATGTACACTTTTAATGAATGAATCGTCAGTCTAGGTATTATATATGTCATTGATTTGAAGCGAACCACAGATGGTTTCTTAAAGATACCATAATGTTTCAAGCCAAATTTGAATTTAAGATTATGAAAGAAGTCGTGGATACCCAGACAAAATAGGACTATTATTAATTATAATCTTATTAATTTTATAATTTTATAATTTTTTTATTTTTTAAATATTATAATAGAAATATTAAATAAATATTTAATGAAATTTAAAAAATAAAAAGCATTCATTCATTTAATACACATGTTTTCAGGAAAGAAAGACAAAAAAGATGAAACACTGGTTGACAAATTAGCTACCTTTGGCCGAAGAAGAAGAATAAAAGAAGGTTTTTTAGACACACAATATTATATATATTTATTCTCTAGCGGAAGAAGCTCAAAATTTGGTTAAAGAAGGAGTTATAGCTATTGATTCTCCAGATCAACCTATAAACACAGAACTATTACCATCGGAATATATACTGGGTTAAAATTAATTAATAAGATATAAGAAATTAATTTTTGAATATGCAGAAGAAAATGAAGAGCGGTGTATGATAGAATCAAGTTCAAGAGAAGATCCAAATGTTAAAGAATACATCCATGTAAATTTTATCAAGTCTTTTTATAATATTTGCCTTTAGAAATTAATTGAATGGATAAATGATGAACTGGTTGTTGATCGTATTTTGGTTAAAAACATTGAGGAAGATTTATATGATGGACAAGTGCTAGGGAAGTTAATTGGTAAATAGGAAAATAGTTTCTTAATATTTTATTTTATAATATCTAAAGAAAAATTAGCAGACATTAAATTGGAAATAGTTGAGCTTACCCAAACAGAAGAAGGACAGAAGCAAAAGTTAAAAATAGTACTTGGGGCAATTAATCATGTATTAAACATATCCTCAAGTCAAGCCAAGTGGACAGTAGAATGTAAAAATTTTTTTTTAACAATTAAGATAATGTTACCTAATTGATCGTTTTCAAAAAAGCAACCTTTTATAAATATTTATTAGTGCATGATGCCATTTGATATGCAATTTGTTTTTTGCATAAAAATATGCTTGCTGTATAATACCATGAATTTTATAAACAGCATTTTTTGCTCAAAACAAACTTTAAGAACATTACAAAAAAAAATAGATTTCTCCAATTTTAATAAAACTTTTAAAAAACATAATTTTACTATTTTATAAAAGAAATTTCTTTTAAGGCATCCTAGGTAAAATTGATAAAAACTAATTTAAAAAAAGAATATTATTTATACTAGAGTTGGAAATAATATTTTTTATAACTAAATGATCTATTAGGTTCTTATACTACATCATTTTACATAGTACAGATCTCTATCATAAAAGTAAAGTTTAGGTTTTTATTGATTGATTTTTTTCTATTAACAACCATTGACAGTATTTTAAATTAGAGATCTGTGTCGCTCAACCAGCAAACAAGGCTGGGTTAAAAATTTTGATGGGCCACTCATGCAAAACATTTTGCATTTTTGGATATAAAATAACTTTGAAGTCAATATATATTTTCTTTAATTCTTTGTGGCACAGATGGGACAATACATGACCCAGTCATTTTAAAAACATTGTTGCTAAAATTTTTGATAAATATTCTTTTTTGTAAAGTCATCTTTATTTTTTTTACCAATATTATTTTTTTATCAATATTATAATTTTTGTCAATATTATTTTTTGGCAATTATTTTTTTGGGGGTTATAAAAACCTTGTAAAAAAGAAGGAAATCGATATATAATCTTTTTTTGCAATTATATTTTAATTTTATTTTATTCTAATAAAAAGTATTAGTATTCAATAAAAAAAGGAGGGTAAGAAATAAATTTAAGAACCAAAAAATTAGATAAATCTTGAGAAATTTATTACTGAGAGATTCTAGTGGCCAAAACCAAGAAATTGGTGCCATGACCAGTTAACAAATTAAACACCAGAACCTATTGGTTATGGGAAATTTCCAAATATTGTTAAAGCGAAAAAAGCGCTAGTACAAATAAAATTGAAACGATAAATCGTTGGAAAATTTCCAAATATTGTTGAGGCGAAAAAAGCGCCTGTACAAATAAAATTGAAACGATAAATCGTTGGGAAATTTCCAAATATTGTTAAAGCGAAAAAAGCGCTAGTACAAATAAAATTGAAACAATAAATCGCTGAGAAATTTACAAATAGTGTTAAAGCGAAAAAAGTGCTAGTATAAATAAAATTGAAGCAATAAATAGTTGAGAAATTTACAAATAGTATTAAAGCGGAAAAAGCGCTAGTACAAATAGAATTGAAGCGATAAATTGCTGGGAAATTTGCAAATATTGGTAAAGCAAAAAAAGCGCTAGTACAAAAAAAATTGAACGAATAAAACGCTGGAGATTTATAAAGATTTTTAAAGCCAGTAAAGCGCTGTTACAAAAAAAATTAAAGCGAATAAAACGCTGGAGATTCGTAAAGATTTTTAAAGCGAGTAAAGCGCCATTACAAAAAAAAATTATTGCGAGAAAAATAACATTATTATATATATTTACTCAAAAAATAATATATAATTTCATTCAATAAAATTCCTCTTACGGTCCTCGGAACAAATCTTCTAATCCCTCGACCGATAAATCCACTATCGGCCACTCCTCTTGTAATTCCCCATTATTATTAAAAAGTAGCGCTCGTTTTTGCTATAGTCTTACCACCGCTATTAGCCGCTCCATTTCCAGTGCCACGGGGCGCTATATCTTTTTCAAATGACATTGCCTGAAGAGTATGTTTGTATAGAATCAGCTGGCAAAGGCGTAATCTTTTCTTGTTTTCAGGATCAACAGTAGTTGTCTTTGCGGTAGACATATCTATGAAGGCCATTGTGTCTTCGAACACCGATCTTTGTCCGCATGGAAAATAATAACATCATCCAGGTAGACGGAATAACAATGGCGGTGGTAAGATCATCGCAAGAACCAGCGCAACTTTCTAATAAGAGGGGCCTGGCCCACGGATTTCGTTGCCGGCCATAACGGGGGCAGAAAGTTTACGAGCAACCGGTGGAGCAATGAAAGCGGAGCGACCCGTGGTCCTGGAAAGGGAGCGGACAATGTCGGTGGTAAGACCATCGCAAGAACCAGTGCAACTTTCTAATAATGATGGTAAATTACAAGAAGAGTGGCCGATAGTGGATCTATCGGTCGAGGAATTAGAAGAATCTTCCTCTTTTATTATCTAACTGTTGTTTTTTTCATTTTCTTTTGGTATTATAGTGTTAATAACCTCCTTTAAGACTCTATGAGGTTATTAAATGCATTATTAATGATTTGGTAAAAAATATTTATTCTAATTTTTTATATTACCATTTGAGGTATAAATTATTTTTGAATTAATACTGATAATATTTAATAAGGTAAAGAATATTTTTAAATTCCATCTATAGGGCTACAATGTCAATTAATAGTAGGGTTGTGCCAATTTTTTTCCGATATTAAAATTACTTCTTTATAAATGTCTATATCTTAGAATTGGCAATAGATTGGCAGCTAATGCATCAACTTCTTGGAACATCGATATATTAAAACATGTTATAAAATAAAATTATTATATGGAAGCATCAGAATTTCGATCAAGAATTTGTTATGGATCGGATCGGCAAAAAACTGTTAAAAACCTATCCACGCCATAGGCTTATTTCATTTGCCGATGTTGACTTTTTGTCATATTTTTGTTTAATAAATTATTTAAAATTTTTTCTAACATTCCAAGGTATGCATTAAAAATTTACTGCTTATCTTCTGGAAAGTCCGAAATATGCACGTTTATAATCATATCATTTTAATATCGGCAAAAATAATGGCACATCCCTAATAAATAGATTTAGATTTTTCTTAAGAATGATTTTATTTGATGAAAACAAGAGAACAGATAATTTAGATCTTATATAATGATCCTCTGGATGTGTTTCACCCAATTCTTTACCTACTTTTATAATATCTAAAATAAGTAATTCTTTTATTCTGAACCAGATTTCTTAGACAAGCTTGATACCTTTATTTTCTCTATGACCCTGTCATATTTAACGAAGTTGCAATCCATCTTGAGTTAACAGATGCGAGTTATTCAATCCAAAAAGCTTTCGTTCTCTTTTTGAACCGCTGCATTAAAATCGCTAATTTTTTTGTTTCGAGTCCTAGCAGGTTGTAATATCTTATGCTTGTTTAAGTGTGGACAGATTTTGAATTCAAAATCACTGCTGTAGTTTTGAAAAACGTCCTCCGGTAAATTATAGAGGAAGGTTGGGGTTTTCTCACTATCTGTGTTGCTACTATTTATTGCACCGTTGATGATAAATCTTAGCCCGTCATGAATATTTTAACTTTATTAATTCAAAATAAAAAAACTACCTCTTAAAATCACCCGATAACGGCTATTTTATAGATGAAAATACGATAAATAAAAAATAATTCTTACAAATCCGAATAACATGACTCATTGTGAGTCTTACAATTCAAAAACAAATCAATGCGCTAAGATTAACAAACCGAATTATTGCGCGTGATAAAAATACATATAATGAATTTACAAAAAAACAATAATTTAAAAAAACGCTAATTATGACACTATTATTAAAAATAATGTCGACTTCAGTTAAATATATATTAATATTCCCCATATGAAAAATCAAATTATTACATTGTCGTTAGAAATGGTGGCCTCCATGTTTAAATGATTATAATGATGGCGTTAAAATATTTAATTAATTTATAATCATGATATTAAATAAATGATTTCTTATCTCCGAGCTTGCAATAAAATCCATTAGCCTCCATAGTCTTAGACAACGAACCTTCCATTTGATTTTCCGTGAGTACTCATCATCTCTCGTCGAGTTTGAAAATGCATGACAATTTCAGTCCCATATCTACCATAAGTTCATTGATGTTTTTGTCTAAGTATTTGGAAAAATACAGATTTTTAGGGAGAAAAGAAATATTTATTATAAAACTCATGTTTATATTTTCATGAAAATTAATTTATAAAAGATAGCTTGCTGCCACCATAAAGCAATAAAATATATCAACTATAATAATAAAATTTACAACAAATAAAATAAAAAAATATTCTTATTATATATATAAAATTTATAATTAATAATAATGTGAAATAAAATAAAGAGTAAAATTTAAAAGTTTAATTTAACAACTAATATGAATGAAAATTTTGTCTAATTCGTTTTTTTTGCATAACAAAATAAAATATTATAATTTCAAATTTTTAACTGGCCATTGGTTTCTTTATTTGAATCGGCTGATTGATCCAATATAATATATTATAAATAGGTGATGACATATAATTGTTTTTATCTAAGATAAAATTAATAAAAACTAGGAAGGAGTAAGAAAGCATAATGAGGCATGGAAGATTATTCGATGTAAAAGATAAAACTTAGATGGTTAGAGCGAATAATGACGGTAGAAAGTCTTTGTTGAATGGAATTCCTTAGGCTGATGGGTTTTTTCACGAATTCGTCTGCCCAATTGTTAAAAAGGCGTACTTTGCTACCGAAGGAATGGAACAGGCGATGGGTATGAATGAAAGATGGATCTATGGAACTGTATTTGGAATTTTCTGGGTATCTACTAGAGAGCACGACGTTATGGTTGAGTGGTGCATTTGGATCAATGTAGGTGAAGTCCTGCACCAGGAGTTGACTCCTTGATAGAGGAATTAAGGAATCCATCAGGACATTTTCCATCGGTTCTAAAAATACCGGTGGTTCAAGTCTAGATGGAATGCCTGCGGATTTGAGAGCACGTAATATGATATTATTACATTTGATGTGCCATGGGAAACGGCCTCGACAAAAGCGGCAATGGAGACAATGTCTACACTTGAAATCAACGACGATGGTTTCGCAATATTTACATGGGTACGGCAGAACAATTGAGCCGTAGTCCAATAACAAATCAATCAAGGTATTATTGTATAAAATTTATATGATTTAAATCATATAAATGTTTTTTTGTGAAAATTACACAAAAAGTATATGATTATTTGATATTCTATATATTTTTTATATGTATTTTATTGTTTAAAATTTATATTTTATGAATATTAGAAAAATAAATAAACATGCTAATATCAGTGATTTAATATGTATTATATTTTTTGATATAAAATTATGATATTTAATAACTTGTGTCAATTTTAAGAATACCTTTGACTCCCTTAAAATATTATTAAAATAATAATTAAAATCATTAGTTTATTTAATATATGTGTAAAATGATTTGCATAAAGGTCAGGCATTAAAATTGTTGTGATGGATAGGGCTTTTTAACAACCCTAGTAATAGGAACTTTTTAGATCATATATTATTAAAATTATCATATAGGAAAATTATTAATCAATTAAATAAATAATAAAATACGTCATCTTGAACATAAAAAATATTGTTCATAATAAATGCTCATCTATTTTTGTATTCATATAGAATGATAATATTTAAAATTTATTAAAATCGGATCGACACATATATTAACATGTATTTTTTAAATTATATGAAGCCATAAGGGGTAAAGACTTGTTAGCTATTATATCTATACTCTCGGCTATGGCTCGCAGGTTTGCCCCTAGGTCAGTCATCCTTTCTTTGCCACAAGGAGCTATATTGACATCATTGAGCGTGCGCAAGGTGGAAGGAATGCTTCAAATTCAACGAACCAATCACACACTTGGGTTTTTTTCGAAATTTTTTTAATTGAATTTTTTTAAAATAGATTTTAATTAAAGGGCAAAACGACTACTCGTACGTCAAATCATAACTCTTGCATGCTCATCCACGTTTTTACTTATCTTTTCACTAATTGATGAAGATAATCATATAAATACCATTGAATGGAAATTTTTGAATGCTGAAATTCAAAATTGACACATTTTTCGATTTAAAAAAAAATTTTATTACTTATTTTTTGAGATATTCATTGTAAAATTCCTAATGATATTATCCTGATTTTAATATATAAATTTGCTATTTGGGGCTGTTTTTTTTCTCGATAAATGCCTTGATTCTTTTTTGAATTGATCTGCAAGATCCCTTCAAAAATCGGCGACTCGAAAAATTTAATAGTTACAAAAATATATTTTACCATTTTGGTCGAATTTTTCTTAATCCCAAAGTCCATTTATAATTTAATCTACCTTGCCTAGAACTTACCTATATGATTTTTTTCTGTTTTCTTTTATAAATGAGTAATAATTATGAATTTTGAATTTTTTTCTATTAACTGGTTAAACTAAATTCGGTAGTTAGACCCTGGGTATCCAGAAACAAATGACCTAAAATAATTTAATGCGGACAATGAATTTGGCTGAATTTAATAAATATTATAATATATTTTTCCAAACCTCCTTGGGCCTGCCATATACCGCAAAAATGGTTGCGAATAGAATTAAGATGGGTTAGCCATAGGAAGAGAATGGACGATTTATATCAGACAAATGATTGATATATTAACTATTTCTAATACTTTATATAATTGTATGTACATCTACATGTACATATTTTTTTTGCAACTAATTATGATAAAAATAATATGATTGTAATAATAATATATAGGGTTGTATATATATTTAAACTATGTAAATTAACCAGGTTGAACATATATTCAATCTATCACAATAACTAAAGATTTAAAATTGATGCAGCACTAAAACCCACGCCATGGGCCGCACAACTCCTTCAAAATATTTTCTCGACTGTGTCAGGATTTCATAAAAAAAATTAAGCTTAGAATTAGACAAATATATGCCTTTTTCTTTCATTTAAAACTTTTACAATACAAAATTATTTTATGAACCTGGCCAGAAAGACATTTACGAACCAAGCCAAAAAAAACTGCCAATTCTGGCCGGGCTGCTCCGATCTCTTCCGTAGATGATTGCAAAGAAAACACAAACTAAAATGGTATCGCAAAAAAAAGTAATTGACCTAAAATGGAAGTCCCCATTTACCCTGCACTGCTGGAAGACTTCGAGGGACAAAGGATTTCCAACATTTTTATGCAATTATATAGTAGAGCGGGTCAGGCCGGGCAAAAATGATTTTTAAGTTGGTTCGAAGAAATGAATATTTTTAATGGCCAGGCTGAATTTCTTAAAATATTTTTAAAGCAGATATTTAGGGAAATTTATGTCGTTTTCCTTCATAAAATTTTTTACGAAGATGGCTAGACAACTTGTACAAAGTATATTTTACTGGCCGAGTAAAAAAAATTACGGGACAGGCCAAATAACCTGATAGAAAACTTTCAAGGACCGGTTCTAACCTAGTCGCGCTGATCTCTAATATATAGAAAGTCGGAGCACATAGGATGTTTACGTGAGAAGGCCTCGAGTATAAAATTTTGCTCTGAAAGATATATCAAGGTAAGTAAGATTCATCCGAGTGAAATCAGATATGTTATAAAGTCATGATCTGATAATCAGAGTTATTAAAAAACAGTAATGAAAATAATTAAATGGTTAAATTTTATATTTATTTCTAATAAACACAATTTCATATCTATGTTGTATTTAAAATACTATTTGTTTATTTAAGACTATCAACAGATGAAAATCGCATGACGGATAATCAACTTATCTCCGATGACCTAAGCATGGCCATAGGTAAAAAACGGCGTGACGCATTCGACACTTTATTCGAACATGCTCCACAAAAATTGGAGGTTGTTGAAAAGGTATTATTATTAATAAAATTTTTCTTTACTATATTGTTCCATATTCATTTTGGGGAAAAATTGAGTTATGATTTTAAACTATCTAATTTAGGAACTCCTACATTTATTCAATTTTAAAGAAGATATAAAAGGATTTTTTACTTTATAACTATTATAAATGGTACTATAATGGCTTCTAATGAATTGTCCTTTTACATCATATCTAATAAAATGATTTATAGATGGAAAGATACCACCGATGTGTGTAAATAATCAATTTTGGAAATTTTCTCTTTAATATTTTGTCAAATCATAATTAATATTTTTTAGGGAATCGGTTATATAATTTTTTTCGATATTAGCTAAAGCCCATTCGCCAAACCATTTATTTTAATTTGAACGTTTCTTTCGACGCAACACATACCAGAATGGAAATATATATTTTTTTAAATTGACACGGGCCACTAACAAAGTAAAGCGAAAACTAACCAAGATCCGAAATAAAAAAACTTACAGAAAATCAAAAATCGAAAGAACCCGAAAACGTCAATAATACTAAATCCTAATTTTGAACTTTTATATTGTAAACTTTTTATTCAAATAAATTATCAAAAAATATAATCTTTGATAAAAATGACGAATAAATTTTTATATCAATTTTAAACCTGAAAATTTTGAGCATAAAAATTAATAATTATTAAAAAGAATCATTTTACAAAAAAAAACGATAAAAAAAATCTTAATAAAAAAAAATCAGTTTTAAAAATGATTGACATTTCTACTAAAAATAACAAAAAACATTGCAATAAAAAAAAATGGAAAATAATTACATACTAATTTAAAAAAAATTGGAATAATCTGTAAATCTTGCGGGAGACATCATGGGAGTAACAATTGATTCTCCCACAAATCCATGGCTTCGTTATTTTGGTGGAACATTTGGGACCCCGACGTAGAAGCCGTCCCATCGATGGTATTCATGGCTCTTCTCAAGAGATTCTCCGCTGGCGGGGTGGACGACAGACTCGATCGCGCGCTGGTTGTCACCATCGTCAACTTCTTCCCGTTGGCAGAAGGAATCGGCTGATAGGTCGATAGCGGTATTTGAGCGGACGTGCAAATATCTATCCTTCGCTTGCCATTTCCAGCGGACACACTTAGAATGTTGGCCTCTATCTGGACTAGGGGGTCTCGAGAGCCCCTGATGAGAGCATCGCACTAGCTTCGGATGTGACGGTCACTATGGCAATTGTAGCAACGTCGTTTCCGGAGTCCAGCGGAGTTTGTGATATTCTCTTGAGAAATGGGAGCTTGGATGACCATTCCGGTATTTTTAGGAATGAGTGTCACTTGGAGATAGCATGTTCCGAAATCCAACAGTTGGCTCTTAGTTTGCATTATGGTAATCTTCCACTATTTTTGCGAATATTTATTCTCCAAATTTTGGTTATAATAAGTATATAAAAAATTAATAAACTTTTATACACAACAAAAAAAAATTTTTTTTAAATAAATTAAAAAAAAAAAACTTTAATGAATACTTACAAAAAAAGGCATATATATAGGGTATAAATTTGTGTATTAAAAAAAATAATTACTACCAAAAAAATAACAATTTCAAAACATTTTTACCCTCGCTCCGCCTCATATTCTCGCAATCGAGAGGGGGTTACACCTGTGGAGTTATTTTTATAGACGAATACGGGGTCCCTTAGATTTATTGAAACCAAAAGGAAAAATTATTACCTCAGTGGGAGTTAAATTAGGTGTAAAATTTTCAGTGGGCCAGAAGGTTTGGGCCAGATTGTTTGATAATCGGGGAAGGAAGTGGGAAAGGGGTCGGGTAGTAGTAAACCGGGGTTCAAAATTAAGTGAAATTTTGTTAATAACCGGGGGTTACTGTGATCCGTCATCATGATCACATGAAATTAGGAGAAAATAAGAAGGGGTAAGTATTATGAGAAGATATACTCGATTTTTTTTCAGAATGATCTTAAAGGTACTAATTAAACGGTTTATATCGTGTCAGGGTTTAGTATAATGGGTCAGTTTTTTTTATGTGGTTTATCACAAACTTGGTTTAAATTTTTATTGGTGAGATGATTAGTTCTTTTAAAACTTTGATTTATCTCAAAATTTAAATTTCTGAGATGGAATATTGCAATGAATCGAGGAAGATAGAAAGAAACAAGGGAAAAAATGAATATCCGAAAAAGATAAATCGTTATTCCAAAAATCTAGCATCAAAATCAATTAGAAATTCTCACAATTTAAAAAAAAAAAATTTACAGTCTCTCCTGACGTTCGCGAGGAAGCATCTTAACATTTTAGGTATCGATGTCTACGATTTAGAAAAACAGGTTTAAACATAGAATTTTACATTTTTAGGGTTAAAGTTAGGGTAGACCATTTATATAATTTTTGTAATGATAAATCTGCTACTTGGTAAAAATATGTAGAAACATGTCTCCAAAAAAAGGATCATATATGAGGTTAATATTTTTAATTGGGAATGGAGCCCTCGAGGAACCGAATCTAAAACCTAGAACTTTCTTTAAAATTTTCAAGAACCGGTTCGAACCGGTAACAAAAGTGCGAGTAATTTATTATAGTTTAAAATGCCGCGTGTTTAATTTTTTTAACTAGAACTCGGATAGGAAACTCGTCGAATTTAGAAATCATAATTAGAATCCGATTTTAATTTTAGAAACCGGAAACACATTAAGAAAAAAATATTTAGAAGCAAAAGCGGAAACTTTTTTCGTCCAAATTATGAACTCTGGTTTGAAACTTTCTTATAATCAATTACTAACTGTCAAATAAATTGCTCTGGCTTTTACATAAAAATTATTTCAAAATGATCTTTTAGCTATTGGGTATACAAAAATTATCAAAATTTTTATAGGGCTCGAGCCAAACCCCCCTTTCTCCCATATACTACTGCCTTGAAGAGTCATTTATTATTGTTTGTGTTTTATTTTACATGTTAAAATTAAATGAAAGAAAAGAAGAGAAAATTAAAGAAAGAAAATAAAAATTTTTAAAAATAGATTAGGAAAAATAGGAGGAAATAAATAATAAATTAAGGAATTTACGTGAAATAATTTATCTAGTTCAACGATGGGGTGTATTTGATTCTGCTCATGGGGCAATTGGAAAACTACTTCATACCTCTTTACGCTTATAATTACCATCCTCAGAGCTTCGAAGAAAAAGTTATTGACGTTTTTATTGCATTCATTTATTAAGACGTGTCAAATTTATCAATTTTTGTTAATTTTCAATAAGACCATTCATGTTAAATAGTATTTAGGTTTAAAGAGAATTTATTAAACTATATAAAATGGCTAAAAATTGGTATAATTAAATCTAAAGACATGTGCGAAGAAAATCTGCTTTTTGCTTTTTTTAAGTTGAGCAATATTTCAAGAAAAAAACTCGAGGCTGATATGATAGTTTTCGATTAACTAAGGTTAGGCCCAAACGTCAAAATATTAGCCAACTTTAATATATAGTAGGCGCCATAGACTTCTCCAAAAAAATAGCGTTTTTTTGTATTATATTTTTAAGCGTTTTGTTTAACATTTTGATGGATAATATTATATTTTCATTTTAAAATTACAATAATTGTTTTTATTGGTTGATCGATTAACCTCACGGAATATAAAGGTTTCACTGTGGTATAATTTTTAACACTTAAATTATTGACCTTCTATTTATATAAAAAAGGGGAACCCTTTTCATATTTTAAAGTATATACATTAATTAACTTTGAATAACAAATAACATTATATTATAACAGTGAACCCTTCATAAGGTGATGGACTCTTAGGTGGCTTTGGCAATTTTCGCGGATAATTATGAGAATGATAATAATAACGTTAAGGATCCTTTAATTAATAAAAATATGTTTGTTGTTATTTATATTATTATAATTTTATTAAAAAAGGTACATAACATCAATTTTGCTTTTGATTTGATTCTAGATGCCGGAATGCCCAAGCCTAAGCCTATAGCTGAAGGTTTTGAAGAAAAAAAACCATTGATTATTATCAAACTTTATTTAAAAAAAATAAATATTGTTATTGATAGCGATATTATATACCATTTATCTTATTTTTTAACACAATGATTTTCCTTAGGAATAGGGTAAAATGGTACAGGGAAAGATAACTCTGGCTTATTCTAATTAAGAAATGAAATTGAAAGGAGAATTCAATTAAAAGATCCTATTTTGTTAGTTTTGAAAAAAACTATTTTGCTACTTTCTTTTATCCTTACTTTTTAGAGCAATTTAAGTGTGTTAACTAGAGTACTGCATTGAACCTATCTTTTGAGTTCAGCGCGGACCAAATGCCTAATTAAACCTGACTTTTTTAAAGGTCTTATACAGCATAAAATTACTAGTGGTCCGACCTGATTCAAGAGAATTATACGAGTCCAGATAATCCTGATTTGGTGGGATAATAGGTTTGATCAGGACTCTACTGTTAACGAAAAAGTCAGTTTTTAAATTTGATGCAAATATAATAAAATATAGATTTGGTAAGTAAAGATCTGAAATCGATAATGAGAGTACTCTACACCCTATTTTCCAAATACAAAAGTCTCTGAAGAACCTTACAAGATCGCAATTCAATTTACACAATGTAAACAAATGAAATAATGTTACTATAAAAATTATGAACTCTTCCTGCAATTAAGGATCTCATTCAGATATTTCACCATTTAAATAACCCTAAAATAAAATTTAAAAAAGATAAATAATGTTTTGATATTGTGCGTTTGATTTGGTGGTATGAAGATTAATTACCTATTTTATTTTAATAAATAAGCTATTTTTTTATTAAAATTTTTCAAATTAAATTTATTCTAGAGGATATAGATGGAACAATGTAATAGTTGTCAAAAGCAATAGGTTTTTCTAAAATTATATAAAATACAAAAAAAATTTTAAAACAATTTCATATGTTTTATTTTTTATAAATTGATAAAAAAATGTATTATCGCATTTGTATCTAAATTTTTTGTTTTACAAAAACGTTTTATTATATAAATCATTAAAGAATAATTTTTTATTAAAATTCAAATCATAATTCTTGGATATTTTTAAATTTAACTTTGTTAGACGATCAATTAATTAATTTATTTAATATATATATTTAATAAATATTAAATTTATCCTTTTATTATAAGTATAAATGATTAGAATATTTACTAGAATCTGCAAAAAAAAATTTAAAACCAAAATTAAGATTTATACTTTCGTATAACCTCTATTCTCCAATATCAATATGTTGATAGAATTGTTGTAGCTACTTGTGAATAGTGTTGCAAAATTGCCTAACTCGAGTCGACTCCATAACAGCCATAGTCTCGGAGCTTAAACTGGCTCTTAGTCAGCCTATTTTTAACCCTATTTGGGGAACTTAAATACGTGGTAATGATAGTATAGACATAGAGATTGTTTAGAATATATTAAGATTATTTTTACATTTTTTAAGAAAATTAAAATATTGAATATTTCATCAGTGAAGAGGTTCTATTAGTACAACTGTCCTAACTTTGATCATGATGGTAACGGATTCAACAGCCAACACATTTATAATTATAATATCAGCGTATTTATATAATCTAATATATATCAGAGACCTGCGGATCCACTAACCCGGTTACCGGACCGTATATCTGGCTCCACCCGGAACATGCCGAGAAATCGAGAAGGGTTTAAAAACGAACCCTGTCGAACTTAGAATTAATTAATTTAACAAAACCTGGGCCGGTAAATTAATTTACTAATAACTAGGTTAGATTATCATATTATATAATGCATCACTTAATTTTAACCACCTGCCGCTCATTTATTTTTTTATTTTTAATATAAGCTAAGATTTTAAAAATCCGTCATACTAAAAATTTGACCTCTACAGGTCTGACATATAATACAACATATTTGATGTCAATGACAGCGGAAAATAGTGAAAGGGGATTAGAATGAAAAATTACCTGGGTAAACATGGAAAAAGGTTACTAAACAATTATCAAAATAACTAGAAAAGTATATTTACCCACTTTGTCCTTTGATTTTAAATCTTTCTCAGAATCAAAATGGGACTAATTCAAACGTCAACATTTTAATTAAGTGGAAATGAATCACAGATTTTATGTATCAACAATCAGCGCAAAAATAAATTTATATTGAATTTAAAAGGCCGTAAGATATTCTATGTATTATGTTTTATTTCATTTTGAATTTGATGTGTAGAATATCAGCTAATAAAATAATAGCACCCCTTTTTCATCAATACAATATCTTTTTATTTTTCACCATTTTGTTAAGGCGAAAGAAAGTAGAGATCTGCAATACACGGCTTGGCCCGAGCCCCCCGTCTATTTTTAATAAATAATTTTGGGTCGGGCTTAAAATTTTTTTACAATATAAAAAATTTAATCTTTCTATATTTAAATAAATTCGATCCGGGCCTGGCGAACAAATAAGAAAAAGGGAGCCCCTAGAGACACCCATAGCTCCAATGGCACCTTCACAAAAATATTTCTTGATTATATAATTTATTTTTTCATTAATAAAATTATATTCAGATACTTTTAAATAACTAGACCAATATTAAAAACGACTTTTAGAGAACTGTGACGTTGAAATATATCTTAATATTATATAAATATAAAATAAATAGTTATACGAGTTTAATACTATCCTCATTATTTATAATAATACAATTAATTATAATCCAATTTTTAGGGAAAATAATACCGTAATCATAATAAAGTGTATAATATAATTATTTTATACAATTTATTTTACAAAAATTTAATAATCTGCTGAAAACTAAATAAATACGTTTTTACAAGAATAGGGAGGGGGTGGGGTAAAAAAATTTTGTCCCAGTTAATAAGGCAATATAAAAGTGTGGTGTGAATTATTTAAACATTGCGAACGTAAAGATGGTAAGTGTAACTCAAATCGAGATTTTTAGTTATACAAAAATTATTTTAAATTTACAAAACATTTAAACGTATATTGAATTTTATTATTTTTTCTGTGGAGTTTGAGAAAAAAAATTTTTTGTTATAAATATTAGCCAGTGCTCTACACGAAAATATTTTCCAAGAATTATAAAATTCACAATAAAGATTTTAACTAAGAGAAAAATTTATAGACTATTAATATGTCAAATAGGAATAGAAAAATCATATTTTTATAAGAGGGATTTAATTTTTACTATGATCACGGAATTTCTATGAAACTTGAAAAAGCTAATATATAATAATTCTCTAAACACATTTAGTAAATTTTAATTAGCAGGGATATTTCAAAGTGTCCTTGGTGCATATTTTAGGATCCCCATAAACTAACCTCCTAACTGCTTTGACAGATCCGTTTATGCATTCGGGAACATCCTTCCACATTGAATATCTGCATGGTCCTTATAAAATAGAAATGTAAATATATGCTAGAGATCTACAAAGCACGCCCGGACAGGACAGTCCTCGGTTCGGTGCCATTTTTTATAAAAAAAAGTCGGACAAATTCAGACCGTTAAATATTTAAATATAATATTCAATTTTGTGAAATAAATTGATATATTTTAAATTTTTACAAAAACAAGGGGCCAATTTTTTTATATTTAAATAAATGGCCCGGTCAATAAATATTTTTTATTTCGGGGCCGAGCTCTTCGAGACAAATAAAAATAATTCGTTTAGAATATGACCTGAGCCGGGCTGAAAAATTAGGCCAGATGCTGATCGCTAATATATGCTATATACCGTTGGCTGATTATTATAGTGTTCTATATCCATTTTTACAATTTTTTAAGGAGAGCCTTTTTTAAAAAAAAATATTTTGTATTTTAGATAATAATCACACCATAATAATTTAAATAAAAAGATTATTCAAAATTATATCTTTATTGTTTATACGGAAGAATACAGTGGAAGGATTGATTTATCGTGAAAAACGTATTTTGTAAAAAAAAGGTGAATATAGAACGGTATAACACTCAGCCAGCGATATATTAAATTTTAAAAGAAAATATAATATAATAAAGGAGTTTAAAATTTCATATTGATTTATAATGATCACTAAAATAATTTCATCGTTTTTTTTAAATCAACAAAATTAAATTTTAATTGAATTTAATTAGGGCTCTAGAGAATTTTATATAAGAATGTACAAAAAAATCTGATGCATGGACTTATTTTATGAACTGTACTTAATTAAATATCAATTCAAATTAAACTCCAAATTCACTAAAAAGATAATTAAGTCTTTTATACAAATTGGAGTGAGTAGGTGATTAAATTATATAAAACTTTAAAATTTTTGGAGAGACTAGAAAAAAGCAAAACTAACAAAGGAGAGAATCAATTTTTTTAAAAAAGAAGAAAAATAGTTTTTAAAAAAAAAAACTTATTCTACACGTCTCAGTAACGTTTTTTGAAGGACAGCCCGATTTTGAGAGATAGTTGGCATTCGTTAAAATTTTGAATCTCGTTCCCGTGTGAGGATCGCAATCTGACGCGTAACTCTCCTTGTAGGAACAATCTAGGGAGTCTTTGCAGATATATATTTTAATAGGGAGTCTTTGCAGATATATATTTTAATCCTAATTAAAATTCTCCCTGTTAATTTTACTTTAATCAATTTTGCAGTTTTATATATAAAAAAAATTCACTAGCTCTTTCTAAGAGTCTTCCTTTTTTTTGATTTAGCAAATGATTAAATAAAAATGTAAAAATTGAGAAATTGCGACTCCATATCGCGATTTAGTTTTAAAGAAAACATTTAATTTACCGTTTGCTACTGTAATATTATATAGTAAGATCAAAAATATACTATGAATACCTAATGGTTCCTCATTTTATTGAAAACTATTCTATATTATACTCTTTTTTAATATACTTATTTTTATAATTAAAATTTAGAGATATTTTAGTTATAAGATAAATCCTAACCAACCTGAGCTGTTGTCAATCGTACGAAAATTTTTAAAAATATGACATTTTTTGGTGATAGATTTCGGTGCGCACAAATTGAGACTACTTTTCTCCTTGAGCAACGTATAATTTCTGATCTTGATTCTTGTCCTATTATCGCATTTACCCCATTTGTTAGGGATGTATATGCATTCTTACAATTAATATAAAATATTATGATTATAATAATATTTAATTTAAATTACTAAAGGTTTATATCCATATTCATAGATATATTTCCTTTTGTGAGTGCCCTTGTAATAATCATTGAAAATTTAGTATTTTTTTAAAAAAAAGTGAACCCCAGTTTCCCTCTAAACAAAAAACGTATAGTTACGGCTCTGTAAACTTAACAAAATTCTTAAGTAGCTGAGAGGAAGAATATGTTTTTTTTTTATATAAGTAAAAGATTTTACTATAATACCCTAACACCTAATTTAGGGGGAAAAATATTTTTTAATTTGAATAAAAAATGATATACTAGATAATATAAGATGATCGTTTTTTACTGAGGCAGGGTAGTAATTAGAATTTATTAAAATGATCTTTATAAAAAAATGTAAACTGTGTGATTACTTCTACACCATTGTTGGTGTACAACTGTGTTAGAACAAGAATCGTTTCCGCTTATTAAATGGTACCTAACCTTACGCACGTTTGTGTGAATATCGCATTCGGCATCACCGTCTGCTAACTTTTCATATTTGCAGGGATCTTTATATAAATTTAGTGAATTATATTTTTAAAAAAGAATATTATACTAGCTTTTTTAGAAAAAATCTCTTCTTTTTTTTTCTTTCTTTTCTCTTCCTATTTTTTTCTTTTCTAATAAATCCAATTAATTATTTAAATATATTATTGTAAAAAAAATAATAAATATATATAAAGTAATCATCAAAGACTGTTAGATAGCTTTATATAGTATTATATTGCCATCTCATTATTTTGAATAAATTTAAAGAAAGATACATATATAAGATAACAAAATTGTTTAGGTCCAAAGAAATGAAATAAATTAATTCCCTCAAATATAATAAAATACAAAAATGTCAAAATTCTATACAGAAATAAATGCATAATATAATAATATATAAAATTTTTGGTAAGATGAATTAATTTTTTTTCTCTCTCTTTTTAAAGAGTCAAAAATATTTTATTCTGAATCTCTTATGTAATATAATAATATTTTTATTATTGGAATAAATTATCTGTTATTTCACGAAATGATCAGGATAATATAATAAGCAAATATTTTATGTTAAAAATGTTTTGAATAAGTTTTATATTTAAAAAAAATGGTGGTTATATTGGGTGAAGCCGTCCTATTTCATATCAGGTCGATTTCGCGAAACTTTCACCGCGAATATATAGCTCCCTAATAAAATAGTACTTTAATTATTTAAATGACCAACCCCCCCCCCCCCCCACTCCTTATCGCTTCTTTCCATATTTCAATAAATAAAAATAAGTTAAAAGTTATGATCAAAAATTTTTTAAAAAACTCCATTGGATAATCTAAATTTGTCATTGTTTTTGATGAAAAAGAAAATTAGGGATATTGTAAAGATAAATTGCTTTAGTTTTTTTTTAAAATTTCATTAACAGAAACTCTTTCTCTATGGGATACAGGCTTCGTGGTTGCTTGAGATTATAAGTGCCCGCTATTTATTGTGCATCCTTCATCCTTCTCTTTTCTACCCTCCAGCTCTGTTATACCTCATTTTTTATTGAAAATTTTAATAAAATATAACAGCTAGTAAATATGTTAAGGAAATAAGGATCAGTCAACAAAGATAAAAAAAAAATTAAAATAATAGATAGAAAAATGTTCCCGATCAAATAGAAATAAAGATGTTCCGAATATCGGGAAAGACTAATCAGGCAATAAATATTGGCGATGACAGATAACTTTCACGAGTAAGGATTAGGGTTAACTAATGAACCCAATAATTAACATTTCTTTAAAACCTCGGTTCTTGGTGGCTTCGAGGAAAAGCCTAGGACAGAATAGCATGAAAAATAATAAATCTTTTTAAACCAATTCTAAGGTCGAGAATCATTTTAAATTTAAAAATATTACACTATCATTGAATCGATCTTTCAACTTATTTTTTAAATATATAAAAATAGAAATGTCTTAAAATAAAATGGACATTCCTAGCAATTATCGTGTTATTGCTTTCGCTCTATCGATATTGACCTCGCCATAATATATTCAGGTTTCGTAATAATGACTTATCGAAAGTCATGTTGTCATGTATTCGAAGAGTGTGCATTAAAAATTTCACTATAAAAAGTTCTCGATATTTTATTCACGATAAAGTCTTCGCGAAAACGGACTCTAGAAAAGTTTCGTTATGAATCCATTCTCTATAATAAACATTCACGATAAAAGTTTCCAGAAAAAATGTTTCACGATAAAAGTTTTTCTGAATTGACAAAAGCTTTTAAAATTGTAGTTTTAATAAACACTTTTATTATAAAATATAAGAACCAGAAAGGAATTTGAATCCGGTTCGATCTCTTATTTAAGAAATAAGTCCGTATCCAATCCGATTCATCAATAAAAATTAATTGAGAAACAGTGGATTGAGGGAAAAGTACAATTTTTTAAATTAAGCAAATTTAATAACTACCACACCTAATATTAAAAATCAGAAATAATCAAAAATTTAATAGTGTATAAAAATAATAATTGCTATATTAAATATTATAATAAATATACATTTCAAAAAAAAACTTAAGTAATAAATATTATATTAAATGTTGTATGTCGTGGTACGTTGATCTCTAAGCTATCAGAGAGGAAAAATGGTTTTAAATCTCGGGGGGATCATAAATATAAAATGTCAATTACATCAATATCAATATATTTAAATAAAATAAGAAATATTCAGATTTTATTAACTACAAAATATTAATATCTCGTTCTAGTTTTCATTAAGTTAATTAGAGCGTTTGATTGATTAAATGATTTGAACATTTCAATATTTCGGTTAAAATTGACATGAAAATGCTCAAAAGTTCTAATTATCCCCTAGCCTAAAACTAGTTATAGATTATACACTTTTTTTTCGATGGTTTGTTTGCCCAAGCATGTATGACAACTTCCATATAAACGAATCGCGTGCTACATAATACAGATCGATATAGATAAATAGCTTATCTGCATACTTAAAAATTTATTTATATTTGGGGTTTTGCTCTAAAAGTAATAATAATCCTAAAAATTTTACGATTCTTAAATATTAAAAAAAAAGATTCCTTCAGATAATAAATTGCACGAACTATTTATGGGATGCCAGGATTTCAAAAAAAATTATGGCGTTTAATATGTGACCTGAAATAACTATTCAATTACTTAAATTGTCTGTATGTAGCATGAGTCACGTTAAACTTATTTGCTATTTCCATTCAAATTAGTTAATTTTTGCCAAATGCATTGTTAAAATTTTTATAAAATTCACTTTACATTTTTTTATGAGCAACCCTTAATTCCAGTTATCTTTATATTATTTATATATTTTTAATTCGGACCGATTTTAAAATAAAAAATTTTTATAAACTCTTAAAAAAAATTTATAAGCATCTTATAATATTATGTTTGAACAGAATTCGATCTAAAATGTTCAAACCTCACAACCTCACAACCTCACTAATAAAGAGGTAGCTCAAGCTTTAGAGGTTATACTGAATTTGTATCCTCATTTCTTTTATTTTAGAATTGAAGTTTCGAAATAAAACTATTATCTTAATATTTAGAGTTCTTTCTTTATTGATGCGTCGTGTTGTGTACCATATGATTACTTGATTTGAGAAAATATCATAATTTAAAAATCCGTGATAAATTTTTTTTTTAAATCGAACGTTAGCTACTATTCTGTCTATAGGATTCGTAAAAAAAATATCTTTAGCGTGAACACGTTTTTGAACCCGATTTGTCAAATTATTTTAATAATAAGTATTATATTATCATATCATGTTTATTTGCTCCTTCATACCTTAAACTTATAATAGATTAAAATCAACCTTGGCAAAGGGTCTCTTTGACCTTAACATAATCGCATATTCTGTTATCTCCTTTCACCAAATTGTAGACAAGAAATTTGGTATAGGTCCTGAATTCACAATCGGAAACGACTGTCAATTGATACGTACAGGGTCCTGCGATAAACAAAAAATATAAGATTTTAAAATTAACTGAAAAAAAAAGAAATTTGATTACAAATATTTTTTTAAAAAAGGGTGTAGGCAAAAAAAACTTAAATTTACAAAATGAGGAAAAATAAATAGTTAATAATATAAAGCTTAAATATCTACTTAAACGTTTTATATATCGTATTGGGATATGGAATTCATTGGGAATCGAAATCTATCCATTTAAATCACTTATCGAGAGCGATATTTAAATCAGAAAAATCTGATTTACCAAATTTAAGACAATTGTGCCAAGAACTATTAAAATACTTCTAAATTTATATCCATTTTTATATAGATTTTTCATATAAATTATAAAAAAACAACAGTTTATGGCAAAAATTGTCTGAAATTAATTTATAAGGTAGGTATTCACAAACATTTCAGGTCAAATCAAATTTTCAAGATTTAAAAACCATCTTCAGTAAATAATATAAAATCGAGAGATTCCAAATTCCCATGAATTCCACATGCCAATACGAACACATATATTAGAGTATTTGATTTGAACACTTAACTAATTCGGGAAGTTACGAACTTATCCTTAAAAAAAAAAATTTATTAAAATGTACAAATAGTTTGGTTGGCTTCTTTTAATTAAGCAAGAACAGCTAGCTACAACTTTAATATAAAATATAAATAGTGTTACTAAAAAAACGCTCACCAAACTTAATCTTTTTCAGGCCCGTAGAATTAATGACTATTCTATTGGTCACTATCTTAGTTAGCATTTCCTTAGCACGGAATTTTAGTAATTCGTAGCTTTCTTTCATAAAGTTATTCATTTTAACCACTCTGGATTTGATATTAGTGTCATTTTTGAATAAGTCCTTAGAATTCTTTCCCATTAGATCGATAGGCCTTGATTTACTGATTATTTTTAATCCTTTATTAGATTTCATTTTGGACGGAGTTTTTAAAGGTTTTTTAGCATGCCGACTCTTATTCGAGAACGATGATTTCTTGTATTTTTCGATCTTTTTTGATACTGCCGCTAATATTTTAGTCGCATTATAATTCGAAGGGCCGCCGTTATGTAGATTGCTTATTTTCATATGTGAATAATTCATATTACTCATATTTATAGTTTTGAGAAGTAAATGAGTATTCGAAAATATTGTCGAGTTCAAAATAGTTTTTGTTGGATACATTAAATCAAATTTATTTGTAATCAGAGCACCTTTAAATATAGAAGAATTGCTACCCTGGTAATTGTCCACATCTTCTAGATCTTGCAATAGATTCTTATTATCATTAATCTGGTCCTCGTGTATAAACACATGGGGTTGATTAGTTATAATTTTAAAATCGGAGATATCCTCAAATTTAGATAAATTTTTTAATAATGTAAACTTCGGCAATTTATTAGGTTGATTACGGAATATTATTGGGTTAATAGTAGAAAATGGGAGAACTGCATTTAAGAGCTCACTACGTAATTTGGAAATTATTAGGGCATTCGAATGCTGTTTTGAGTACATCGTTTTATTAGGGAGCTCGAGAGAATGTCTAGCAAGAAATGTAAAACTGAGGAGAATGACATCAATCCATATAGGGTACTCACTACCCATAATTAAAGTTTTAATGAACTGATGATAAGTGGGGTTAAATATTTTTTTAAATGACTTTAATGACTTTAATTACTCTACTTTCATAAACATTATTTTACAAAGAGAAAAAAAAATAATGTAGTTGGTTTCTTATTTATTTATTCTTTATTTTGGGGATAAATAATTTTTATTTTACAAAAATATTTATTATATATACTTTTTTAAAGTCTTGATTTACATATTTTGTCAAAATATTTTATATCAAAAATATTATACATTAAATATTTATATTATTAATTCTGAGGGGAGATCGGGTTTCGTGAATCAGAGACCTAAATCATTGTAAATAATTGCTACGGTTCTAGAGTTTTGGAAAAATTACACAGGTTCTTTGGGGCTGTAAAATTTTGAAATATTTATATCAGATTTTTTCTTAAATAAAAATATAGAAAGACACGCAACTTGGATAATATTGGATAAGAGTAATGAGTATAAAGGATAAAAATTGGAAGAAAGACATTAGGATTGCCTTTAGACCTTTTTATTAATAATATAAACTTGCATTCAATTAGATGCAACTAAGTGGAGAAATTTACTGCCCCCCATCTCATATCAGACCAACCTCTCGCACACTAAAAATATGGGATTCTACATTTGTTGCCCATTCCTTTTATTATCTCCCTACAAACCATCACCTTGAGGTTAACCCCAACTCAATAATTTTATCTAAAACTGACTATGGATGGCTTGATGCAATACCTATCTTCAAATTCAGGTTACTCTTCTTGGCACAACAGCTTAGAATCTCTATCTAAATCTCTATTTAACTCTGTCCGGGCTATGACATGGTAACACATTCTAATTGGGTTGACTATGATAAAATAATCAATATAGGAAACCACTCACTTCATAAAAAATATTCTCAGGGCGCCAATCTCTCCATAACAATCAATAACATCATACTAAATGCTTTCAAAAAAATTAACATACTCTCCACCTCATACTTCTCAATCATTATTTAAAAAGACCAGATGGTAATATAATACCATATTCTACTAACAACCTTTCCATGGCCCTGTACTACATCTGTATTGATATCTTAGCCAAATCAAAGAACACATTTGGGAATTCAAAATATAACTTATAATCTTTGGGGATGACACTTTCCAATTAATTAAAAGCCCAGGGGAAAAAATAATAAATGTTGACACCGATGGCTTTTATCTACGACAGATGATCTTAACTTCCCATTCTATCTGTAATATAAAATTTAAATTTAAAAAAATACCAAAGTAAAATTAGAAAATGTAATATTAATTTAATATATTAACCAATGTTTAAAAAAACATAAATAAAGAAATGAAGTGCAGAATAAAGTTATAAAAATAATAAAAACCCCAGATACTTATCTAATGTATGGTCTTAAATTAAGGTTTATATATAAATAAAACTGTCTTAAGAAGATTCATAGGTTCGGTTCGCTCCTTTTATTGATATAATATAAAAGTTCGGATGCGGTTTATAAAATTTTAAAGATTTATTCATCTATAACAGTTTGGTTCTGTTCACTCCTGGTCCCTAGATAAAATTTTAATTTAAAATTTAAAATAAAGCTTGGGTTTCAGTGTGTACGAGATTAGAATTAAATGAAAGTCGTGCTTTTTACTATTTGCCTAGACCCAGCTTTTAGAGGCTTGAAGGGAAAAAAGGTGTGCATAATCACAAATTCAAAGTTGCTAACCATACTTTTAAAACAAACATATAGAAATCGATACAAATTATCATGGCAGGGAAAGATTTTTGATTAAACTTTAAATATAATTACAATTTAAAATATTTTGTATCATTTGGCCAACCTTTCCGATATTCCTATCTATCTTTTTTATGATGATAATGATATTTTTTTAATGATAAACACAACTATTTGGGAAATCAATACCTAAATGTTGCAAAAAAATGATTATACACACTAAATACAAAAACTATAAAATCATAATTAAAGGATTAATTTTATGCCAGCTATGATATAAAAAGTATTATCAATTATTTTTTTCCAAATTTTTATATTATATTCCATAAATAACTCTATATTATTTTTATTCACTTCTGGAATATAAAACTAAAAGATTTAATAGAATATATAAATAAAAAAGGTATGAACATGAATATTATTGATTTATCATGATCAAGGGTCGACTGGGATGTCAAGGGTACCATGGGACATATAAAAAACTCAAACACTCTTTGGGGCCTATGATCTGTCCAAGTTTATAAGGTTAATATTAATTCATATCTAATTATTTCAAAAGATTGTACAATTTAGAGTTATAATGTGTTATACAAAATGAGCATCATGCATATCAAATTCATTTCTATAAATAAATATAGATAATTATATCATTTCTAACATTTTGCTCATTCATTAATTCGATGATACTATTGCAAGTGTAATCTTAAACAACAAATACCATGACTAAATCTCATTATCAATATTTGATAATGTTTGGTCATGGTAAACCATTTAATCTTTGACGTGAAAGAAGTTTCTTAATTATCTTTATAGATATTTTTAGCAAAATTTTATGATCTTTACTGATATTGTATTTTATAATTATATCAGGGCAAACAAATTTATTCAATTCATTGAATTTTTTTTAAAGGTAAAAACAGTAGTAAAAGATAGATAAAACCTTTAAAGGTAAAGATTCATGTCTTAATGTATCCTTCTGCAACATAATAAAATATTAAACTTTTATAAAGATTTTTATTGAAATTTAAGACCCTTGAACCAATGTATTAAATGAAAAAGTATGTAATCAAACCGAAATTCAACGTTAATATTGTAATAATCTTAAATTTGGTTTTAATTTTTATAGATTATTAAGAACTTAGGTTTATAAAACCCATTATATGAAGAAATCGAACTAAATTCTTCGAGTTATTCTTCAAAAACTTTTTTAACATTTTCTAGTCTCATTTCTATTTCTAGTCTCATTTTTATATTTCTCCATTTGCAATTCTTATTTTTTCAGTTATGATTTTCCTAAGGATTAATAAAAAATGTTCCTCAATAAATTAATTCCTTCGTTTATTTTTAATAAATCGAAATGTCAATAGAAATATTATTTATCCTAATATATATTAATACTTTATTATTTGAAAGGAGATCTTAAAACTAGAAAATATGAAATAAAAGTTATTGCGAGGAAATACATTACGATTCATTTACCGTCTATAAATATAAATATAATTTATTTTCAAAAAATAAAAAATTTAATTAACATTTAATCTAAAATCAAATCACCATTTAGCGATTACAAAAAAATATCTAGAAAAAGTGATCTCACGGTCACGATATATTAAAATATTATTATTATTACCAAAGGAATTTGATAAGACTTATCATCAACTCATTTTTAAATGAGTGCAGTTTAAGTTTTGCTGAAATTGGAAATTGGAGACATCACCAAATTTGAACCCGTTTGTCCACTCGTAATTATTTCAATTTTGTTTTATTTTATTGCCACAACAGGACCATCATAATGTTTTAAAAAAAATAATTTAGGTATTTGCCAGGTCTATTACATTTACAATGAATAGTAGACATTAATTTAAAAATTGGAAATTTACCACACTCAACTACCAATTTTAAAATTTTCGAAATATAAAAATAAATCCAACGAAATCTCCACAGTTTATATATATTTTAAAAATCATGTTTTGAAAATTTTTTATATAATATTATTGTATTATGCCCAAAAAAAGAAATTTAATAATCAGGAATATTAAATCCATGTTCTTAAATTTGTTATGTTTTATCTGAATACCAATATTGCAAATCTTGATATAGATTAGATTGGTAAATATAATATAATTCATTTTTCCTAAATTTATTTTATGAATAATTGTAACCCAAGAATTGAGCAACATTATGGATAATGGCTCCGATAAATAATTTAATTTTGATTATCAAGTTGACAAAAAACCCTCCCCAAAAAAGGTGCCATTTAGAAAATTAAAGTCCAAATCATTCAACGTATCATAATAAAATTATTAAACGTAAAATAGGGTATAGCTAAAACACACATAGCTATTAAGTATGGCTATTTAGAATAGCATATAAAAACGTATCCCATGCAATAATAATTCAATCTCAAAGAGGTAAATGCGAATAAATTGCTTCATAGACTATCTTTAATAGATGAGCCTATTATGCATTCTTTATACTTCCCTGAAAAGTTACTAATATTATATTACCAGTATGGACCCAATCCTCATGTATCTACAATTCCAAGTCCAAATAATATCATTTTAAATTACATAACTAGGGGATCAAAAAATGTTTATATGCATCAGAGATCTGCAGGCCCGGCCCTAAGCCCGGTTCGGGTACAAGGGCCGGGCGGTAGGTTCGGGTACAAGGGCCGGGCGGTATTATAATATTTTTAAATATACCCGGGCCGGGCTAAGCCTGAAAATTTTTTTTAAATAAATATCCGAGCCGGGTCTTTGAAATCGCCATTATTAGCTATAAAAATCAAAAATAAATAAAATACATTTTAACAAAATCCGGGCCGGCTTGAAAATTTTTTAAAAAAAACCCCAGGCCGGGGCCGGGTCGAAAATAATTTTTGAAAAAAAAATCTGGGCCATACAAATGATACCTCTGTAGGATACATATAATTGTTTAAAATACATGGGTTTAAATGAAGAGATATTTTATAATGATGTACATCTTATTTTCCTTATGAATAATTTATTTATCTAATTAGAATTTCTAATGGACAGTGATCCTAAATGATAAAACTGAACATAATTCAAGCTTTAAACGATGTCAAAAATACGATCATGAACGAATTTTTTTATTTGTCCCAAAAAGCCTTACCCGAAATAATAAAAAACTATTTCTCCCCTCCGCCCATCCAATTTTATACAAATATAGAAAAATTTAATATTTTTTTAATTATAAAAAGAAAATATTCTACAAATAAAAAATTTTGGCACCTTTTTTTTGAAAGAATATTATAAAATATATAGATTGGCCAAAAAGTTGAGTAATATCATATTTAAAAATTTACGTCCTATCCGAATTTTTTTAAAAAT